GTGGGAATGGGGAACATGAGATGGGAAGGGCGGGTGTGGTGATTAATGGGCATGATCATGAGGGATGTGATGTTATACATTATGTAGAACGGACCTCGGCCGCAAAGACCGATAACAAGGAAGATCGCGGTGATACTGGGGGAGCTTCTGCTGGGAATGGAGGTGAAGATGTGGGGTTTGGTTCGGTTACAGAGTTGGATGAATCACCGTGGCACTGGACTGCTCGTCGTCTTCCGGCCTCGCCCAGCATTCCTAAGTCTCCCAAAATCCCGCTTAACCAACCGCTTCCAAAATCCTTGTACGAGACGCCGCGTCTGAAGGAAATCACCCTTAGAAGTATGATGGGGGATTACAGTGGTGCGGCTTATTTCTTATCGGCTTGGTGGGATCCTAATGCGGGTGGGGAGGGGAACGGGGAGTGGAGGATGGAGGTGGGGATGTGCAAAATTGGGGTGGCGGCTTGGTGGTGGGGGGTTCATGTTTTGGATCTGCTTGTGATTGTGCTAGGTGGTCTCGGGTTCATTCTGTGGGTCTTCGGGAGCGGTGAGACAGTTATGAAGGAAGTAGGGAGGGTGGAGAAATATGAGAAAGCAGGGGAAAAAACTGAGTAAGGAGGTCGAGCATGCAGTATATGGCTGACGATCTAGTTGTATCATATATGTTTATAGTTATATATCACAGCGTCACAGCTATATATAGACAAGAAGGGCAATACATACATATCATTAAAGGTCATATGATCGACAGGCGTACGTGTACCATACGCGTTACTAGCTATATTCCACAGCGCATTGTATTTACTATATAAATACCAGCAATACAGATATCCATAAAACCAATACCTTGCACAAATATTTACTCCCAGTGCTTCATACTACCAATACACCCCTTAGCAACTTTTATCCCTAATGTTAGACTTGGTACTATTATCAGATTCTAAAGAAATTTCTACGCGCTCTCCCCAGCCAAGGTTCAGCGCAGAGACTAGGTGATATATTTCCTTTTAACTTTAGTTATGAAGAAATATGCCAGGAATAATCCGGAGTAATTTATTAATGTTGTATATTAGTGGAATTATTACAAGGCAGATTTAGAATCCGAGGTTTATTACTAGATTTGATATTTGTGGTTTTTGGCTCATGGTTCCTTATATCTTCTATCTTGGGGAGATGGGCAATATGGTACAATCAAATGGCATTTTCTGATTTTCTTTGACGGTATGGAAAGAGGTGGATAGCAATATACCTCAACATCTAAACTGGCGGCAATAATAGATATAAAAGTTCTTGCGGTTATGACAATTGGAGGGGTGATTCCCTTTCAAACACAATGATTATAATAATTCAATTTAACGTACTATCTGATTCCAATCGGGTCTATGAACATGTAATATCAATTCTTAGAACAAGGTAAAAACGTCTCTAGAGGAATGTCCCTCCGGAGTCAAAAATCTTTGTCTCTTCCTCACCCTAAAGTATTCTAATATAGCTATGGAGAGTCCCTTCCGAACACATAATGATACAAACCCCGTAAATGAATATTAAACCAGAAACCATAAATATATAAAATGTTCCCTCCTCCTTATCCCCACACCTAGCACCTGCATAGTTAATTTCCTAGCATATCCCTGAAAAACCAATACCCCATCCGATCATCGTATAACCCTAAAATGATCTCCCATTCTGCTTATATCAATCCCCCCCTCCCCCCAGGTTCTAATTAGAACCTAGCCTCACTCTACACACTGAGGCCACTCCCCCCTTCTTTTCTGCCCCTCTCTGCATACATATAGTAGGAGAACGGCCCTGAATTATTTCCATTCCTTGCCCTACTGAGGTATTTGCAAAGGTCCTATTTGTGCCGATGATGGTCATATTTTGCTTGTGGTTGCGCTTTTGGGGTTGGTGTAGTAAATCAAAGGCCTTGGTTTTTATGTGAGGCGGGGAGAAGAGTGGTTTTAGGAGATCACATGGGAGGCATACGGAAGCTGAAGGTTGTAAATTGAAAGGGGGAATGAGGATAGGGATGTGGTGTTCTTGGGTAATAAGTTGGAGAATAAGAACAAAATAACGAATTGGATTAGATTGAAAAGTCCCCGGGCTGTGGAAGCTTATTTCGTATTTCTAGTATAAGTGGTAGTGGAAACTTGGCCAATTGGAAGGATAGAAGAGATTATACATTCATTTTAAATATTATTCGCAGTGAGTAGAGAATGAGGAAAGGAAGGGGAAGGAGAGTAAGATTCTGTGAAATGAAATATGTTTGGGACACTGTTCTTTAGTGGAATTCTTCGGTAGCACGTCTGTTCAGACCATTGACTGTTTACTGCGAATTAAGAGCCATTGGACCTTTCCATAATCTGAATGTATATTGCTCGTCAGCTTCTATGTTTCCACAATTATATCGAAACGCATTAAAGTATACTTTAAAGGGATATTGTGGAAAGGTACAACTACTTCCTTGATTGCTAAAGGGCTAAAATGGCAGAGAACGGAGATGTTGCTTTTCAAGATACTCGAGCAAAAGCAACCTATCCACAGACGTTTAAATAAAAATATTAATGCAAGGACTGAACTGGTTATTGAAACTATAGAATGAAGACAGAATGAGAAATAAAAAGGCGGATGAGAAAGAAAGGCTACACAATGGAGCATTTGATTATTCCATTTATTGCAAAATATCAGACAATAACCATTTTGTTTGAACGAAATTCGATTTCTCTTCGACGAAATATGAAGTTGAAGAGTAAAGATGGTGATGATGGTCTTCGTGGGGAGGTTTCCCGGCACTTCCGCCAAGCCCAAAACAGCACTAGCGGCGTACGGAATTTTGTTCAAGCGAAACGCCGGCACACAACGCCAATTTGACCAGGCGAACATTTGAAGATACCCACACGACGAGACGACCCGACCACGACATCCTGCGACGACGCACCCTTTCGATACCCACCACACGTCGAGTCAACTAATCTGCCAAAATGTCTAAGCGCGGGTAAGTGCAGCCGCTGGGAGTGGAAGATATTGGGGGTTCTTGCAGGATGAATTGCTGATTTGTGAACAGTCGCGGTGGTGCCTCCGGCAACAAGCTGAAGATGACCCTCGGTCTCCCAGTGTACGTTTCTCCAAATTCTCGCAAATATACCCCAATCGGATCCTATCTCGAGCGAAACATACACGCGCAACCCGATCAGAACAACTGAACTAACCCGAATACAGCGGTGCGGTCATGAACTGCTGCGACAACTCCGGCGCCCGTAACCTCTACATCATCTCCGTCAAGGGCATTGGTGCGCGCCTTAACCGTCTCCCCGCTGCGGGTGTCGGCGACATGGTCATGGCGACTGTGAAGAAGGGAAAGCCGGAGCTCCGGAAGAAGGTTATGCCTGCGGTCGTTGTCCGTCAGAGCAAGCCATGGAGGCGGGCCGACGGTATCTTCCTCTACTTCGAGGACAATGCTGGTGTGGTGAGTGGACATCTGTTTTAGGCGGATTTGGGGCAGAATCCTTGGGATATGGAAAATTATGGCTAACATGTTTTTGCAGATTGTCAACCCTAAGGGCGAGATGAAGGGCTCTGCCATCACTGGCCCCGTCGGAAAGGAGGCTGCCGAGCTCTGGCCAGTAAGAATACCTCATACCCAAGAAATATAGATCCCGCTAATTGGTTTCACAGCGTATCGCCAGCAACTCCGGTGTCGTGATGTAAGGTGTTTCCTTTGCTGCTCAATTCTCCAATTTTTCTGGGTCCTCGGGATACGGCGAACTGCATTGATGGAAAATGATGGATTCGCTGCATATCATTGCTCACAGATAGCGATGAATGAATCTTCAAATGATCCGAACTCGGAACCCCGAACACTTCGTTGTGCCGTGAGGCGCGCATCCTATGGATCTTTAGTGCCAGGGAATACCCTACAATATATTACTGGATGTTGCAGTCAATGAATCCTCGAACCATCCGGTCCTGGAACGTCGATCACTATGGTACTTTGGTTGTGATCCTGTTCTTTGCTCATGCGCTATGGGCTTTTGATGTTTAAGACCACACGAAATCCACAGAATTGCATTTCCATTAAAAGGGCTAGAGTGAACGTTCCGGTTTCGCATGCTGAGTAACTTCTGAACACCCGCAAAAATGGCATGTTTGCTCTCAGGACAAAGCCTCGACTGATTTCCTAAACCATAAGGATGTCTTTATTAACCACTTGGAGAAGCAACTTAGGGCGAAATACCCTTACGTTAAACTTGTGGTTATTGGATCTTACATTACCATCTCCTGTAGGTTCCAAGTCATGCCTGGAGTACGGTATGAATCCTCAACGTTTGTTACCACCATACATGCTGAAAGGTCTCGTGATCCTTATATTGTTGAAGCACAGAGCATGTCTGCAGCTACATACCGATCTGTTATCGCAAAGCCCGCGCTTTTAAACCTATCGGACCCCCTTTCCTGTGCCAGAGCAGTTCCCCTCCTGTATCTTTGGCTAAGCAACATGCAGTTTTTAAATTTCCTCCCTTCGGTTCTAACAATCCGCACATACAAGGGACTTGGGGAATCAGATAGCTATTGGCACTATTTACCTGTGCCTGCTAGCTGGGGATATCAGTCGACAAATCCATCCATCCATATGGGTCCATGCCATGATCATGTGATCCCCCAAAACCGAGTAGCATCAATTGTTCTTCTACAAAGACTGTTTGTTTGTCAAAGGTTGCAGGATTCCTACGATACAGGCTCGGGCCTATATAACACAGTGGCGCTATGGCGTCTTTCTCTGATCTTAGGAACAGTTAATTATTCGGGCCCAACTACGCATTATAGTCCTGTTCATGACGCATAAACTTAGCAAGTGTGCTGCATCGCCCAACAAGGGGAGCACCAAGGTGCAAAGCCCCACCAATCAACCCCCCCGCCCGATGGACATTTCATGTTAATGCTCCTCCCGTTATGTATTATGTATAAAAAGTTTTATTTTGTTCTTTCTTCCATCAAAGCAGATCCGGTCTTGTGGTCTAGTGGTATGGTAAGTCAGCACTACACAACACACCAGTAATGTATTAGCACTAACATGTAATCTCTAGATTCTCGCTTAGGGTATACCCTGAGTTAACTTGCGAGAGGCCCCGCGTTCGAGTCGCGGCAAGACCCATTCTTTTTATTTTTTATATCTTGCGATCTGTGGAAACCAGAGGTTTTATCACCTCTTCTTTTTGCTAAATTATGAGATAGGGGTAGATTGAAAGTGTCGAATTCTTTATTCATTTTTCGCTTCGGACCATGACATTTTATACGCATGTGATTGATGATTTAGTGAGTTGGTGATATGAGATGGGCGCTCTTCTTCTGTTTTCTAGGTGGTACGCACATTGTAATGCTATCTTTTATCTTTGATTCATGCACGATAAAAGTAAATTGATTGCCGTAAGCTAGAGTTATTGACTGCGCTTCCTACTGTTTGATGCTGTTTAATAATAATAATTACATGTAAGTGCTGCTACCAAGTTCCGAATCGGATCTATGAACACATAATGTCAATTCTTAGACTAAAGTAAACCCGACTCTAAAGGAGTGTCTCTCCTAGAGTTCAAGCCCTTTAAATTTTCCTCACTCTATACTATTATAATCTAGCTACAATGAGTTGCTTCACCAGCTAGCAGTTGCTGTTCCACATCTACTAATGCTGCCGCTCAGGCCTGCGTACTGATAAACCCGGTTAGAGGAAGGTATCATAGGTTAGTTATTGTAGGTAATTTATCACTTTCAAATTCTAAATTGGACCAGTTAATGAAGAAAATTCGGCAATTACAATCTTTCGTTATGAAGCCGAGGGAATTAGTGAGAGATTAAAATTTCAAATGGCATTATGAAACAGGCAAATAATTATAGTACGAACAAAAGAAAAGATAGAGTGTTCATTGGGACATAAGCCAAGATTGGTTCAAGACATATTTCAGTCAGATTCTCACACTTCTTTCCAGGAATTCACCTCTTTAACTAGGCCCGACCTCCATCTCAAGGATCTCTCAACGTCTATTCATTAATCCTGCCCTCACTCGGCCCTCCCCAGCAACAATCCCCCTCCTTCATCCCTCAAACCTCAGCCTTTCATTCCCAACCACCCCATTAAGCACATTTCCGATCCCGACGACTTCGCCGCTCCCTCCCCCGAGCATAACATCTGCAAACGCGTCTGCCATAACTTGAATCCCGCTGGAGAATCCCTGGCCATCAAACTCGCAATGGCCTCCTGCTGGTGAATTATCCACCGTCTGCAACCCATTGATCTCATCCAACCCCAACCCAACCTGCGCAGCAGACTTTTCATACGCCGCAACAGCCTGCGGTATACTCCGTTGCAGACTCACGAGTTCAGATTGCGTAGATTGCCAATGAATCCGCGTCCCCCTCAACACAGTCTCCTCATCCACAAAATCCACCTGTGGCACCAAACCCCCACAATTCAACATCACCCCCGCATTCTCGAACTGGCTCATCTGACTTGGTATAAAAAACCCGCTCAGCATCAAACTTCCGCCACTTACTCCGGTGAAGAAAACCTTCCGTCTGTCAAAGCTGACCAATTTCGGTAGTGCGTCATTTATGAAGTCTGCTACGGCCTGCGAGTGGGCTACGCCGTCTGTACGTTGGAGGCCGGAGCCGCCGCCCCAAAACAGATTGGGATCCGGGGCGAGGAGTGCGATACCTAGAAGGTTGGATGAAACCGCTTGGTTCGGGAAGTCGAAGAAGGATTGGCCGCCGTCGCCGTGGAGGAGGATGTTGATACCAAAAGTACCGTTCGATGAATCTGCAGATGCGCCAGGGACACCGGAGTCGCTGAGAAACTGGGAGGAGGGAGCGGAAATGCGGAAGCGGAGGGGGAGTCCGCTAATAATACTATTAGTATAACTATCTCAACCTCACCAGATCGTGCAAATGGCGGGGGATAGTTGTATAGCAGTAGACATACTTTACAGTAACTGTATCATCCAGAATCGTACTTCCATCTACGGCCGTCGATACGCCTTGCGGTATCTGGGCTGCTTGTTGTTGTGCAGTGGCGCGTTGTGTGGCCCCGTTTCTGTTTCCGCCATTTCTATTGCTGCTTCCTTGATTCCTTTGCGGGAGGGCGGTTGCGAGATTAAGGAGAGAGAGAATTGGTAATATGTACATTTTGAAGGAAGGTGACCAGCACTAGGAGATGAAGGGAATACAAGAAGAATGGAAATGGACCGGCCGTGGAAATGCAAATATGGAAACTGAGAGACGGAAACGAGAGTTGAGAAGAAAATGAAAAAAGAGAGCGAAAACATATATCCAAGACATTCACTTCTGTCTTAATGCCGCCTAATATCACTCGTCAAGATCAAAGATACGCCCTTAAAACAGCCAAGAACCGCATCTTTTCATGGTGTCACATCCTGAAGGCGTCTAACCACCTTTTGGAAATTTATGGAGCCGTGCTGTGGGAATATTAGCCTAACTCGTGCGATGGTTTTCTGATGGCACAGAGGAGGTTTGAAGATGGGGCTTTGGAGTTGAGGTTGTTTCATCGTGTCGGACTTCGGTTGGTCCGTGCCGGGACTTCACACAATTTGACCTCTCCCTTTCTTTGGACTCCATCTCTACTAGAAGCAGTTATATACTTAAAAAAGAATATTGAACGGCTGATATATAAAGAACTGATCTTTAGGATCAAGATTCAGAAACAGGGAGATCAACAACCAGAGCTGACACGGTTCATACTGAGCAACATCCTCAACTCTATAACGCGCATCCCAAAACGCTTCTAAGCTTCGTTGAAACAGATATATACTATTAAATAATGGTCGTGGTATGAGTACAGAAGTAATAGTAGAATCGCTATCTCAAATATTCTTTCCAGAGCCCCATGCATCCCTGTTTCTTCACGACTGTGATTACGTACTTAGGTCGAGAAAGATCTGGAAAATTAGGAGATATTCGAAAATGATGCTGTGGTAGAAGTCCAAACAAAATAGAACAGCCAGTTAGGAATCAGACATCTCGTTTATGCACCATAAGCCTTGTGTTTCCCATTTTGGTTCCCTGCATCCAACTCGCATCACGCATTTTTTTTAACTGCATATATGTCCACTTCTCCAAAATTCTAATTGGCCTTTTCAATAAGCACACTGCTGACTGATTTGCCTCCCCGCTACCTTCCCCGCAGCATAATTCTGTTTTAAGTACTGTGTGATATATTTGAGGGACTGGAAGAAGGATGTGAATTCCAAATACATGATGGCAGATATGCGTGTTAACAGGTGATCTAGCTTACAGATAACTAGGTATGTGCAACAACCTACAGTTCTGCAGGGCAACAATAGAAAGAAAAATCTCTATTAAAAGCCTTGTTTCGCCTTGAAAACTGTATCCCGTTTTTAAGCTTCTTCCCCCCTTAGCCCCTTACATGCCTCGTATTCATTTCGATACCCATTCCTATACCTGGATTATAGAACCCGATTGTAAAAACGAGATGTCTTCACCTATTGTGGACGAGGGGGTGTATGATTATATAATCTGCGGGTAAGATAATATCTCCTTTCAAGACTGCCCTACCTTGATCTTGTCCGCCATGTTCTGTTAATCCGCTTGTATACTGTATAGCGAATGCTAACTTCCTTATTTAGAGGAGGCACATCCGGCTGCGTCCTCGCCGGCTGTCTCGCCGAAGACCCCTCTCTCCGCATACTGGTTCTCGAAGCTGGGCCAGATAATGCGGATCTGGAGAACGTGCATATGGCAGGCGGGTGAGTGTGACCCTCTCCTCTATAACCCCCTTAACCCCTTCCATCTTCTACAGCGCTCTCCCCTTCCGTTTCCTCTCCACTTCCTTGCACTTAATTCCCCTCCCTCCCTCTCCCACTCCTTCCTAACTTTTCCAGTTGGTCCGCCCTCCTCGACCACCCCGAAACTGACTGGAACATCCTCACCACTCCACAGCCGGGCCTCAACGACCGCCAGGTAAAATGCAGCCGCGGCCGCTTCCTAGGCGGCTCGAGTGGGCTGAACGGAACACTCTGTATTCCAGGCACGAAGCAGGATTATGATGACTGGGGCCTTGAGGGGTGGGGGGGGGAGGATATGTTTGGGTGGATGAGGAAGGTAAGTTGGGAGGAGAATGGATCTTGATGGGAATGATTTCGGTGGAAGTTTCAAGGGGTTGGTAAATCGAAGATATACTTACACTGGAAAACATAGGCCGAATCATTCCACCCCAAGCCACAATTCCAAACCTCTGCATCCGCCCACGGAACTTCTGGCGCCCTGCACACCGAACCCCACGACCTGGCACCGATATCCGAACTCGTCAAAAAGTCCTTCATATCGAAAGGTCTCGAGTACTATCCAGACATGTTCAGCAGGGGGGATGTCCCACATGGCTGCAGTGATGTAATGAGGACGGTGCACCAGGGCGTGCGGTCCACGGCGGCTGATTTTATAACGAAGGGGTACCACAGAGAAAGGATCACTATTAAAACAGGGGTTATTGTGGATAGGGCGGTTCTTGAGAAGGACTCCGAGTCTGGTGAGCTGGTGGCGATAGGTGCGGTTACTGTGTCCAAAGACGGGGAGGCGAGAGAATACCGCGCTAGAAAGGAGGTTATTGTAAGTGGCGGAGCATACTGTAGTCCAGGTATTTTGATGCGGTCTGGAATTGGAGGGAAAGAAGAGTTGGAGAAGCTGGGGATAGAATGCCAGATCGATCTTCCGGGCGTTGGGAAGAACCTGCAGGATCATGTCGTAAGTACCTCCCCTCCCACTGGAGCCATACATTCATCATATGACTTACCAGACATCTCTTATTCGTTGTCTTAGCTCTGCTTTCTCTTCTACGATGTCCTCACACCCAACCTAACAAACGACCATCTTGTTTATCCCGTCGGCGCCGCCGAATCCACCTACGCCCTCTACAAAGAAAAGAAAACCGGCGTACTCTCCACCTTCCCCTTCGGAGTCTTCGCCTATGCTCGCCTTGGGTCGCGTCTCCAAGATTCCAAGCTCTGGACTTCCGCTCCGCACGCCCCAGGCCGCGATCCCATGGGTCTGACCCCGTCCCAGCCGAATATCGAGTTCGCAAACACCGAGTTATACGGCGGACCGAAGCAATTTAACGAGTTCCCGACTGA